CCAGCTTCTCTTTCCACGGGTACTGGTATTCGCTTACGGCTCTCGCCACCGATTTTGCTGCTTTTCCAGCCATGGGCTGAAGAAATTTGCAGAAAAAGTTTGTGACTTTGTACCAAATTTTGAACACAGTACATGTAGGATTCTAAAAAGAGTGAAGGGGTGGAGGCAAAATACGAGCCCTTCAAATTATTTACGTTTTATGTCCCCTTTGAGGAATTTTGACAAGCACCTTGTGTGCATAAACTTGCAGCTTCCAACACATTTTGACTTCAACGCAGTTTTGGACAACAATATGAAATTCTTCTACATAAACAAATGTGCAATCAAACTGAATAAATATAATAAATTGGGAAGATTGACAAAAAGGCGTTACCTTTGTTGGTAGAGTGTGAAAATCGCGGAGATTCTTGTGGAGGAAGATGGAGATTGAGCCCTGGGTTTATGAGAGATATCACACCAAACGACGACGTATTATCCCGGATTTGTCCGCTTCAGTAAAGAGGGCCACGTGCCCCAGTCCGTTGACCTTACAGTTTCGGTTCCCTCCTTTTACTTTTTTCCCCCCTTTTTTCGTAAGCGTGGGTCGGTACGGTTTGGAGATTGATAAATCTTCAGAACCATACCAAACTTTAGATACCCCAAAATTCGATCCCCAGAACTGCACCAAAAAATCGGTTCGGTTCGGTTCGAAAATTTTTATTTTCGGTTCGATTCGGTATTCGGGACTATTGGGACGGTTGGGTTCGGTATAGTTTGGTTCAGATTTTCGGAGATTTTTTATTTTCTTAAATTATTTTTGAATGACTATCTAGTTATATTTTAATTTTTATATGCTTTAAAAAACAACATTCATCAATAATTCATCATATTGAAAATTTTATTCTGAAATCAATTCTAGAAGTAACTCTAAATTTTAGTTATTTAATATTTATATGCTTTAATAAAACCAACATTCATCAGTATTTCCTCACATTAAAGATTTTATTTTGAAATCTACTTTATAAGTAACTCTAAATTTTAGTTATAACTAAATTTGTGCAACTAATATTGAAAATTTAAAACTCAAATAAAATATAATGTTTTTTTTCTTAAAAAAATATTCTTTAAATTTTCATATATTTTAAATAATTATTTTATAATAGAAAAAATTCAATTGTAGATCAAGTATTACTAAGCATGAAATTTAAGTGAAGGTTAATATTTATTACTATATTATATAGAATCAAAGTTGACATAAAATATTATTAATAACACATCTGATGGTATAATTCGGTTCTTCGGTTCGGTACAGTACGAGACGGTTCGATTCGGTTCTCGGTACGACTTTTTGTGAAATCTCCAGAACCGTACCAATTATTTTTCGGTTCGGTTCAGAGAAAGTCAAACGGTCAACGATTATTTTTCGGTTCGGAGTGATTTCGGTTTGGTTTTTAGAGCGATTCGGAATTCTCCGAGTCCCATGCTCAGCCCTACTTGACATTAATATCTTTTTTTCCTATCTCTTTATCTCTTTTTAAATTTAAATAACAAGTTAGACTATGTTTAGTAGATAAATAAGTTATCTTATAGCTTATTTGGTTACTTTACAAGATTCATGTATTAAAATATGCTTCGTTTGGTAGGAAAGCTTTTAAAACACCTCGAGCTTATCTTATAAATTTCATTGAGTAACTTTTCAAATAAGTTCGTTAAAATTTTTATTTCAGCTAGCTTATCAGCTAATTTTACCAAATACTTTTATCATATAAGTTAACATTTAAGCTATATAATTAATAAGCTCAAAAATTACTTATGAACTATAAGATAGTTTATAAACTATCAGCTAATTTTACCAAACATAGCCTTAACGTCACCTTAAAAACCATTAGAGTATTATCACCCTTCACATTGGTGTTAATTGCTAATAACCATTATTACAAGTAAATAATAACCAATACAAATGCTATATAATTTAGATCGAATTTTGGTTATAAATGTTTAGAGTAAGATTTGGACTTTCAAATAGACGGTTTTGCAATGAAACCAACAGTTGGCTCCATAGTGGTTTCAATCTTTTATATAAAACAAATAAACATACCATATTCTCTGATTATTTAAATAAATACTAATAGTACCTACCATATTCTCTGATTATATAAATAAATACTAATAGTACCTACCATATTCTCCGATTATTTAAATAAATACTAACAGTTTTACTAATATGGTTTATTTGTTGTATATAGAAGATTGACTCCACTATGGAGTCAACTGTTGGCTTCATAGCAAAACTATCCAAATATATTCATAATTAAAACTAGAAACATGAAATTCCACATTTCCTGCTTTTTCCATTTTTTTTTTCCTAGAGTATAGTACCATATTATACAGTACTATTATTTCTACAATTTCCCTTATGCAAGCAAGTCTAACCATGAAATCATATATTTTCTAGAGTGTAGTACTATACTAGTTTTATCCCACATTTGCATGTACAACAATATAATAAATGAGAAAGTAATGAAAAATACAAATAAAAATCATAACTTAATCAATGGAAAAATGACTTTAAAATGTGAATCTAAATATAATTAACATTTCTTTGTATAAAAGATTCGTGGTTTTTCTATCGTCAGAATCCCCATTACCACAAATTATTATCATCAAATCCCTCTGACTCGTGATTCTGGAAAGAGCCACGTACAACTGCTCATGACTGAATACTGGACTGTTCAGTAGTAATCTAACGAGTGACAGAAACCAACCTTGACTCTTATTGATTGTCATAGCATATAAAACCATGAGAGGAAACAGTTTGCGCTGAAACTTGAATGGTACCATAAAATCAGATGGTATGATTGTGAGCTTAGGAATAAGAACTTTATCACCAGCTCTGATACCGGTTAAAATTGTGCATTCGAGGACATGATTGTTGAGCTTAATAATAACCAAACGGGTATCGTTGCACAACCTCATGGAGTGATTAATGTTTGTGAGCAGCATCACTGGAGTGTCGACCTTCAAGTGTAATTTATGTCTGGAAGTCTCAAACACTCAATCCCATTGAGAAATTTAAGAGTGTGAAGATCTTGAAGAAATTCATATCCAACGTTTGACTTGCAAGAGGTGTCTGAACTCAAGTAAGTTCTTCCCTCAAATGAGTTCAAATAGCTCATGTACTCGTTAACGGACTGGATGACATCAACTGTGGGAGCGAGGATGGCTATGTCCTTGATATAGCTAAGATCATCGTCTGAACTCCTGGACATCAGGTAGGTACTCTCAACAATACTACCAATAGAATCTCTTTGTGATTTTAGAAGAATATTGTCGGGATTGTCAATATCGGCACAACCGTCGTTCGACCCACGATTGCACCGTCGCCATTGCTTGCAAGCCACTCCGAGAAGCGCCTCAACCATCGTACTCATCACCTCTACTAAGGCTTCGAAGTCTCAATTTCCGAGTCAGTCTCAGAACGACACAATTGCGCCATATATAATGGGCAGATGTTTAAGTATTAAATTTATTAAAATATGATATCTACGGTTATTTGTCTTATTTTTTAGATGATCACAAAGATATATAATTTTAGATTCCATTATATGATGCAATCATTAATTTAAAAAAAAAATCATTTTATTTATTATTAAAAATCAGTCCAAATCATGTATATAGGCTGATGTATAGGATTAATCGAGCATGATTGTATTTCAGTTAAGGGTGTGAATATCAATATATTGTTATAAATATATGTTTATATAATCATCATACTTTTTAGTACTAATATTCATTAAAAATATAAAAATCAATTTTTTTTTCAGTAGATTCAATTAAAATTTACAATTTTGTAGGAATAATTTAAAGAAGCTACTGTAAGGATCGTTATTCTAAATGATGTTTTTATTTGTTTTTACTATTTTAGGTTGTATCTAAATAATTATTACTTCTTTTGCATCTGAGTAATCATCATACGAATAACAAAAATTGTAATAATTCAAACTTAATATTTTAAGCATTATCATGTCACTATAAAACAATTACGTTACAACCAAATTCAGAAAACATTACATGGGTGTGATCGATTTTTAAACAAATTAGAGAAATAAAATGGCAATCCCATGCATCCATTACATACCACAAACTCGGGCAAAAAAGTAGTTGATTGCTAGATAAGATTAAAGCTAAAAAAAATAAAATAAAATGTGATGTAACCGTTTTTGAAGGAAACTTAAAATATTTTTATTAAATATTGTCTGATTTTTATTAATTGTTCTGCCAACGATTATATATATTGATTATAGAGTAATGCTCCCCTACCCACGGTAGATACATTTTAGTATGCCCCCTGCTTATGTGGCATGCACATATTGGTGATGTATTTTTTTTGAACATATTAACATCACCAATGTGTGCATGTCACATAAGCGATGGACATATTAACATATGTCCACCGTGGGTAGGCGAGCATTATTGATAGATTATATGCACTATTATATGCTTACAATTTCCCTAATGCGAGCAAGTCTAACCATGAAATAAGTTAACTCGTCGTACTTTCTAAATAAAAATCTAGGTATGTTGCCCAAGTATTTTCATTTTCGAGGATTTTTTCACCCAAATCTAAATTAACTTTAAAGCATACGAATCCAAATGTTTCAACGGAAATAGCAAATATATACAGTACATAACAACTTAACAAA